CTTTACTATAACGAACTGCCTAACCCTACTTTACTATAGTGAACTGCCTAACCCTACTTTACTATAGTGAACTGCCTAACCCTACTTTACTATAGTGAACTGCCTAACCCTACTTTACTATAACGAACTGCCTAACCCTACTTTTCTATAGTGAACTGCCTAACCTTACTTTACTATTGTGAACTTCCTAACCCTACTTTTCTGTAACGAACTGCCTAACCCTACTTTTCTGTAACGAACTGCCTAACCCTACTTTACAACAGTGAACTGCCTAACCCTACTTTACTATAGTGAACTGCCTAACCCTACTTTACTATAACGAACTGCCTAACCCTACTTTACTATAGTGAACTGCCTAACCCTACTTTACTATAACGAACTGCGTAACCTTACTTTACAACAGTGAACTGCCTAACCCTACCTTACTATAGCTAACTGCCTAACCCTACTTTAAGATAGCGAACTATAAGTAAATTTTACTTATTCAATATTCTGACCTGAAGATGGTTAACAATAGTCACCCTAAACGTTGTCACTGACTGCTTTTCTTTCTGTTGTTTTGAAGTTCATCCAGAGGGCTATTTTCAAAACTACAGATCATAAATGATTAACACGGGGTGTTTGGTTTATTCTAGAAAAGAATAACACGTTTTTTCACAAGATGAAATTCTATCACTTCGTCTCATTCACCTGATTTGAACGTGTGTAAACTAAGCAGAAAAACTCTTTATGTACAGTTGTCTCAACTTCATCCTTATATCAGTGATCTCTATACCACTGTCGAATCCCGGTTGTAAGTAAATATGTAAGACGACACTGTTTTGTTGCAGCGTTTTTAATTTATTTATATTTTAAATGGTGACTCAGGTGAGAGTCAGAATTGCATGAAATTGAAAATCTAAAATAAATAGGAAAAAAAAAAAGAAGTAAAATCTTAACGGAAAGTAGGAATCGTTGGTTATTCGTAGAATTGCTATAAGAAGTATCCAAAACAAAATAAATGCTGCAATAAAAAGTACACAAAGAAGTGGTGATACTTGTTGGATAGATTTTAAAACGATTTTTGGTTGGAATTGTGATCCCTATAGTTAAATGAAGCAGTCTAAAGATACTTGTTAAAGCAATTCTATAAATAACTAACGATTTTCGGCGCGCGAATTATTTGGAAACCTTGTCGATCCCTACTATTAAGAACTATAGTACTTAATAATGAATTACCGAAAACCCGTTAAGAACGAAATGTCAAAATGGTTTGTCTTCTTTTTTTGTCTCCTAGTGGCGCAGCAGTGAGTCTGATTGCTTATAATTTTGACATCCTCGTTTCTATGCTCGTGATAGGCACTGCTCAGAGGACTTTTAAAGTGGTCTTAAAGCTGTGACCTTTACTGATACACTGAGTACATTTTGTCTGAATTCATAACCCGAGAGACTGACGTTATCTATTGTGATTTACCAGAACATTATCAAAAATATTTCGAAGATATTATGTACGTTAAGTTTCTTTATAAACTCTTTTCTTTTATAATGCTCTGAATATTTCGTTAATTTTTATCACAGGTGTTTGGTCAAGCTGGGAAGATTGGTGGACTTACGATGGAATATCAGGTAAGAGTCAAACAAGATAAGATTAATCTGGAATTTACTTTACAAACAGAACTAAAGTGATTTATTTTATTCACGGACATCAGAACTGACAACATTTTGATCTATCTACCACATGGTAACCCAACATGTCACCCATAAAATTCTCACAAGTGCGCTATTTTTCAATATTTCCGCATAAATATAAGGCCTTGGAACACGCCTTTACTAGCGAAGCGGTACTAGATAGAAGCTCGAGAGGGAAACAAAATGGCGTCTACTCTTCGAGCTTGCGGAAACAATGTCTCTATGTAGAGTTAAGCACGCCATTCTACAGGCTAGAAAGCTTTAGTCCACGCTAAGGATCCAGTGGAACGCCATCGTGAATTTTAAGGAGTTGTCGTTATCAGAAGGTTAACTTGTGTCTAGTTTTGTAGACTGGCAGACTAATGACATCTGCAATAATGGATGTAGCGTGTATATATATATATGTATCTGGTATGTGACCAAAATAATAAATACAATGCTAATTTAATTAATGTCCCTCATGTATATTTAATAATAATGTAGTTGTGTACCTTTTTGTCGGTAGATGTCATTTTTTCTCCTAATATAATATATGCACAAATAGTACCACATCTATGCGATTTGGGGAATTTCAGCAGTTGTACGTTTCTGGTGAGTAAGATATTGGCTATTTCAATCTAGGGGAATCTATTTTGGATTTTAAAAGTTTTTTATGACAATTTGTAACACAGTAATTAATAGCACACTATTGCATCACAATAGTGAACGATAAAAACCCTATAACCTAGCGATTTTCAAAGATGGACCTTTCTTCTTCAGGGGTAAACTGGTTTTTTGTCCTTCTATATTAAGACTTCTTGAACCTATTTGTTTTTTTTGGCATCATGAATGTAACGCAATACTGTAACATTAGTATATACGTGGTTCAAATACAACTTCAAAAACGAACCTATCTAAGATGGTGGAGTGCACGTCATTGAAATAAGTTTGGTCTTTCGTGTACCTTGTAATCTATGAAATAAATCTCTTGATATAACAGTTAAACGTTTTTAAACCGGCTTAACTTCTCGATTAAAATCTTTATGTTAATTTAAATTTATAATATTATTTTTATTGTTCATCTTTGTTGATGTCCCAATCTACATCTTTACTCTAGAGAAATTTACAGAACTATTTAAGTTTGAAGACTGGGAGACTATTCCAATTTGAACCTAGTTGTGGTTTACGCGACCACTTTCTGTTAGGCCTTATTTACGTTTTCAATATTTTGATATCTAGAATATTTTCTGCAGTAGTTTAGACTAGTGAATGAAGTAGTGTTGTTAGTATCGTAGAAAACAATCACTATTTCATTTGTTTAATATAAGGAATTATCTCCTGTAATTACGTAAAGTGCTGAAAGTCTTCGGTATTTATCGTATTATGAAGTAAAGAACTAAAGTAAAGTGGAGTTACACGCCCGTATGGTTACGGCTGTAGATTATATGATGTCAAAATTGGTTCAGTATGTTATCCTAAGTGTGATAATTGCATCACTGCGTCTTATACTCCATTGTAGTGTTGATAATCATACTTCCCGCCCTTTTCGGAGATTGTATATGAACGTATCAGAAAATACGAAAAGCATTTCGCAATATGGTATGTCATTATGCGGACACCCGACTGTCACAACTGGTTCCACATAAACCAATAAACGATTAGTAAACTGTGTATCAGAACTGGCAGCACTTAGCACTGTTACTCAACTGTCAGAACTGGTGTGATATATTCTTCTTTAGTAAACAGTCTTTATATTTATACAGCCGAGTTGTCTGTCTGCTGTCATAAGTTACCGTGAGAAATTGGGTCAACCAATTCCGATAAATGTAAAGGAACTTAGTTGGACCTCCCCCACCTACCAAGATCTAGTTTAATGGATAAATAACCAGACAAACGGTTCGAGTTGGCAGTCATTTTATTTATACCTTCTTAACTCCGCGAAGGAAAACTCAGCTGAACGAGGAGATAGATAGCAAAATACGTGAAAGCTTACGCCAAATGAAAGTGACATTTACTGCCGTGCGAAGCAATCGTACCTTTGCTTTAGACATATGGTTCATGTGCTACGACTCAAACTGTAGTAAGGGGACAGTCCACGTCCACAACATTATATTTTAAGACCAGTATTGCCTAGTACCTTTGCTGTACATAATGTAACTACTGAAGAGGTTTTATAGTCGTTTAAAAGAGAAGCAACGTCATTTTAGCTCGTTAATGAAAGATCCGCGTAAATCGGGGGTCAGTTGATCACACCTATAAAAAATTGACTCTGTTTAAACGTTTGTGTTACGTTTACTTGCGTTCCCGGTTAAAATTGCGACAAGAGACGTAAGGTCAATCTTTATTGTCTGTAAAAATGTTTCCAGAAGCTGGTCTTCATATCTATTTTAAAAGAAACGTTAACTATTGACGTTATACCCGTAACGTGGTGACGTAATTAGATATTTTTGAGTGGTAAAAGCATTGAATACTGGTAGTACTTATTTTCAGAATATTTTATTTGTGAATACTGTACTCATCATATATATATATATATATAATAACGCACGCACCTTACTATCTGAATGCGCATACTCACGCACTTCATTTCAACGGATGTAAATATACTTTATTAGACGTTTTGTACAACATATCAAAAGCTTGTCAAAGTTTGAAAAAGGTCTAACGTTATTTCGTTGAATGACAGTAGAAGCTTACTTATCTATAGTATTGTTGCGTCATCGAGGTCACGTGACTGGTGTGGCGCCACCTATTTTCTAGAACTATCCTGTACCTTGGCGAATGCTTTAGCATTTACTAGATATATAGTAGGCTGGTATATAAAAGAGTGTGACAACGTGACGGGACAACAATGTGTGTGT